ATTTAGATTACCTTGACTGCTGACATTGGAGTTGTTGATGCTGAGGTTGGCCTTTAATGTGTAAAGCTCGGCATCCTTTCTCCTGCTGGCATTGTGGGTACAATACTGCAAGGTAGTGTTGGACCATTTCCTGCTGTTTTGAATTGTGGACACAGAAGCAATATCCCACATTCAAAAGCTGGAGATTTTTTTTAAAAGGATTGAATTTCCTTCAAAGCTGTCGTTTGAGTTATCTGCAATTTTATGCAGCTTTAAACAATTGAAGACTAATTTGATTCATTACTTCAGATTTATTTAATTGTATGATAACTGTTCTTGAAACTACTAATTCTGTCCTGTTCATAAACGACCTTGCTGTTGACCTTCATTGGCCTTTTCTCTTTTTCATGCGTAGAAAAGTTTTATGGAAAGTTTGCTGCCTTTGATTTGGCAGGAAATGCCTCTAGTTGAAGACAGCATTTTCTTTGTGCAAACAAAAATTGTTTCCACACAGAGCAAGTCAGTATAACAGTCTTTACTGTTAATGGCTATTTTAATGCTGGAACTGGTTAAAAAGTGAAATGTTTTGTGCCTTAATTAGTTCTAGCACTCAAACTGTAATTGGTGACCGGTTACAAGGAAGTGTTGACAGATAGGTTATGGATTTTGTTTCCAACAAACGGTTTCAAGTCTTCTGATATAAATCAAGTGTAGCATGCCATGGATAGTGAAAACCATGGCCATTATTTTTAAAGCTTTCATTATTATGTTCTCTTAAAAATTAGTTATTAGACGCTTCCTTGTTAGACAGTTGTCTTGTCTTGTTCTGGATTCAGGAAACAAAAGAAAACTGACTATGGTTGGATGTTGTAGGTTTTTCAGGCTGTTTCACCATGTTCTGAAGGTTTTTCTTCCTAACATTTTGCCGTCTCTGTGGCCAGCATCTTTAGAAGACAGGAGTCAGAACTCTGTGCTCTGGTGCAGTTTGTGGGATAGTTGAGTATGTATAACTGTGGGATCAGCTTTCATTGAATCCACAAAAACCAGCATAGCTTCAACAAAAAAGAAGCAAGTCTAAAACTCAACAAAGTCTGGCTCCCAGCACTGAAAAATACAGCCTGCAAAAGGTCAACAAACTTTAGCTAGCCACAAGGACTGGGGATCACGACATACAAAAGACCAGCTAACGACACCCATCAATCACAGTGACAGATCATCTCTCTCCCTTATCACAACAAAAAACAGGCTGATCACCATAATCACCCAATCTCCTGAAAAGGACAAAAAGCTGATCCCACAGCTATAAATACTCAACTATCCTACAAACTGCACCAGAGCACAGACAGAGTTCTGACTCCTATC